GCGTGGGGGCGACGCCCCCTTCGCCGGAGTGACTGTCCGAGGAGGCAGAGGTACTGGTACCGCGAATGTCGGGGGTGGACAGAACCCCCAGCAGTGACACGTCGATTAGTGAATTGTCCGTTTTCGGTGCTCGAGAGGGCGCCGCGGCCGTTATTTTCCAGGCTTGCGCCCCCCAGGTTTGGGCCTCAGGTCGTTTTCTCTAGACCACGTTTTACCAAAGGGAGGTCTGTCCATCCCCGATAATTACCTCGTCACCGCGAGTGCAGTCGCCCCGAGATGCTGGTCAGAGCGCACCCCTGGAGAAAGGTCTGGGGAGTGGCGGTATCGGTACATATTTGTCCTTCCAGATCTTTGGTGGGGGCCCACTCGCTGAGTGTCGTCCTTGCCTGGGGCCGTTCTGGCGTGTTGCCGGTCTCTGTCCGTGCTTGCACATCTGTCGCAGGCGCGTGGCTCGAATGGGTCGCCCGCGGGGGCGCGAAGCTAACTCTGCGCGTCGCGGCCTGGGCTGGCGAGGCGTCCTTCTCCGAGGCGGCGCGGTGGCGCGAAGCTCCTCGTGGTGCGCGTCGCGCGATGTCGGGTGGCTTGGGGAGCGCGGCCGGTGGGGGCCTCGGGGGCCGCCCCCCCCCCCCCCCCAGGGGCCCAGAGCTGTCGGCCTCTGGGGGCCTTCGCGGAGCCCCTGGGCTGTCCTTCGAGCAGAGAGTCGACTACAGAATCGATTTGCTCCAAGGTTTGGTTCGTCGAGTCGATGCGAATTGCGTAGAATGCTGCGTAGACCTACGGAACACTCTAAACATTTTGTCACAGATCCGATGGACAAACCATTTCTGTAGTCGATCCCCTACTCGGAGCCCTACTCGAAGCCTCGGGGCAGGGCTGTAGCCCTACTCGAAGCCTTGGGGAAGCCACACTCGAAGCCCTAATCGAAGCCCTACTCGAAGCCCTGGGGTAAGTCAACTATGCAGTCGATCCCCTACTCGAAGCCTCGGGGAAGGGCTCGAGACATATCGGGGTCAGAGCGACGCACAAAGACCACGATGCCCAGGGGCCTTTGGAGCGCGCGGCGACCGGGAGCCCCAGGCCTCCCCCCAGGAGGTGGCAGCGCCTACTCCCCCCCACGCCCCTCTCCCCTCCCCCTGTGGCCCCCCTTTCTCTACTCCGACCGGCGGTGCCCCGGTTCCCTCCCGTCGCCCCCCTTCCCTTATCCCGACCGACGCGCCCCCCCCTGTCCGGGCGGTCCCGCTCCCCCCCCCCCTCCTCCTCCTCTCCTCCTCCTCCTCTCTCCTCCTCTCCTCCTCTCCTCCTTCCTCCTCCTCTCCTCCTCCTCCTCCTCCTCCTCTCCTCTCTCCCTCCTCCTCCTCCTCCTACTCCTCCTCCTCCTCCTCCTCCTCCTCCTCCCCCCCCTCCCCCTGGTCCCCCCGGATCTCCAATGATCCGGCACTGGCTCCGCCGTGGTGCGCGCCAGGCTTCCAAACACGCCACGGGGGAAGCGGGTCCTGAGGGGAAACGGGTCCTGAGGTGTTGTGCACCGTCTTCGGCCTCGCGGGGCCCTCCGCGGGCCCCTGTCAGAGCAGGGCGCAGGATGAAAACCTCGTCCTGGGGGAAGGCCCCTGGCAGGGGGCCACATGCCAACCCTACCCCTGCCCCCCACGACTTCTGAGGGGGGGTTGGGGTAGGGTTCGCATGTGGCCCCCTGCCAAGGTCCAGGACCCGTCTCCCCGAGGACCCGTTATTCCCCCCATCTGTAAGAGCACGTAGAATTGGAGCGATCGCGAAGCGCGCGCGATGCTTCCACCACATACTGATGATGAGCCGCTTATGGTGTCCGGAGGGTGGCGCTCGTCCGCCACGTTTGGGCGTGGTTCGAGAGTCTTGTTCAAGACGCTAGCCCGAGATGCGCCGTGGGGGGGGCTTTAGACTAGCACTTCGCCAGCCCTGAGCCGCTCCCAGGTCGAGATGCAGGCAGGCCCCCCGTCCGAGGGCCCGCAGGAATGGGGCGCAGCGCGCAAGGTGGGGTTGAAGGGGCGACTCCCTCTGGAAGCTGATGCTTCCTTTTCTCAGGGGCTGTCCACTGCGAGTTCGCCCACTGCGAGTTCCCTTTTCCTCGAACCTCCCCTCCATCGCCGGCTTCCAGGCTCCAGAGGTGGCCATGGACCTGCCCGCATGGAGGCACAGTGGTCGGTGTGGGGATGCTCCGTCGCGGGAGGCTTCCTCCTGCCCGGTCAGGCCCACCAAAAGCATCCGTGCCCGAGGATGAGAACGCCTCCAGATGGGCCACCCCAGCACGCCAGCCCTCTTCCCCCCCCCCCGCTCTGCTTCGAGCTCCCCTGGCGGGGATGCCTCCGCGCCGCCCCGCGCACCCGGCGAGGCGGCACCCCCGCCCGGCGCGGCCTGCTCGCGGAGGAGCTGCGGCAGCCCCGCGAGCGCCTCGACCCGGTGCAGCAGTCCTGGGCAGGCCGGCGGGCACAGACGCTGCTGTGCTCTTAGGCATCCTATGGAGTAGGGTCTCGGCCACAAGGGACCTGCCACGAGAAGCAGAGCCCTGATTCCCCAGGACGTCCACTGATTTTTGGCGTGGGGGCGTCGCGCCTTCCATCGCGAAACCTTCGAAGCCCAAGATACCCGGGGCACCCTGGAGGCAAGCAGGGTGTTTCTTGGCATGGGGCCCCACTGTAGATGGGGTCGGAGTAGATGGGGTCGGAGGATCGCGCCGCATCGCCGATGCATCGCCGATGCGGCTCGATGTGGAGCCCGATTTGCTTCACGTCGACGTCGCCGATGCATCGCCGACGTCGACGATGCGTCGACGATGCGTCGCCAGTGCATCGCCGATGCATCGGCGATGCGGGGCGGTCATCCGGCCCCATCTTCTCCGACCCCGTCTAGGAGGCGTCTATGTTCCCGGCGTTCTTGTTCGCCATGGGCCATGGGGAAGCGGGCCCTGAGGGAAACACATCCTGGGTTTTTGTCGCTGCTGTTGGGCTTTCGGGGCCCTCCACGGCCCCGGGGACGGTCGGAAAAGGACTCAGGACGACGATCTCGTCCTGGGGGAAGGCCCCCGGGTCCAGGACCCGTTTCCCTCAGGACCCCTTTGCCCCATGCTAAATTGTTCGGTAGGGCAGATGACCGCTTCTAACTATACCTCTTGGACATGTCTACTCACGCCCTACTTGAGGCAGCTGTTTCCTGCGTGTGCCAGCCAATGCCTTATGTGCAGCGTGTTCATTCCCTACTTGTGTCACCTCCACGCTGCATGCTCACGCCATGATCGGGGACCGACTTAACTGCCAACGCCCCAGCGCGCGTACCTTGTGCCAGACCAGCTCGATTGGTGGTGTACAAGCATCGTGACCCCAGCAGGGGTGACACTCTTGAGCTGTACTCAATGAAGAAAAGACGACCCCGACCCCGACCACAGGCGTTTGACTAATCAGCCCTGCCTGCTCGATTCCTTCCATGGGTGCATTTGCCAGACGACGTCGCTTGTCGGGGTGCTTGTTCTGGAGGTGGATTTTCTGCTCCCTAACAACCCCGCGCTCAGGTCTTGTGCTGGACTAGCTTGTGTGCCGTAGTGACGTACAGAAATCGCGTCCCTTCACAATCGAGGACGCCGGCGGCGCATCACCGGCCGCTCCCTGGGAGTTTGTCGAAGTGGCGCGCAGCATCGAAAGTCGTGACGCGGCGCGTATGCCAGCTATCAAATGGCCGTCGGCCCATCCCGCCACCGTGCTTGGGTTTTGGGTCGGAGTCCTCATGGACGCTTCTTGGGGTCTCGAGAGGGCTCTCGGAGGCCTCTGCGGGGGTTAGGGTCCTCTTGGGGGCCTCCTGGGGGTTTCTTGGGGGCCTCTTGGGGCCCTCTTGGTGCCTCTTGGGGCTCTCTTGGGGCCTCTTGGGGGCCTCCTGGGGGCCTCTTAGAGCCTCCCGGGGGCGTCTTGGGACCGCTTATTATGTTGCTTGTTTTTACCTAACAGCGAAGACTGATTATTACCTAACAGCGAAGACTGATAGGTTTCTAGTTGACTCAAAAGAGCTCACAGATCACTCCACAGGGGGGTCCGGGCAGGTGTTGGGGAGTTGCCGGGCGGCAGGGTGCCGGGCTCGTTTTTCACCAACAGTCACACACTTCGTGCTCTTCGCCTTCCCAGAACTCCATTCCCAGGCCACATTCTGAATACCCGGATGCAACAGTCACACACAAAGTGCTCTTCGAGATCCCAGAACGCCATTCCCGGGCCACATTCTGAATAACCGGATGCAACAGTCACACACTTCGTGCTCATCGACATCCCAGAACGCCATTCCCGGGCCACATTTAGAATAACCGGATGCAACAGTCACACACTTCGTGCTCTTCGAGTTCCCAGAATTCCATTCCCGGGCCACATTTTGGATGCCCGGAGCCAACTGTAGGCCACTTCGTGCTCTTCGAGTTCCCAGAACTCCATTCCCGGGCCACATTTTGAATGCCCGGAGCCAACTGTAGGCCACTTCGTGCTCTTCGAGTTCCCAGAACTCCATTCCCGGGCCACATTTTGAATGCCCGTAGCCAACTGTAGGCAACTTCGTGCTCTTCGACTTCCCAGAACTCCCATTCCTGGGCCACATTTTCAGCAGGGGCAAGAGCACGACGAGGAGGAGGACGAGCAAGACCAGGAGGACGAGGACGAGCAGGAGCAGGACGAGGAGCAGGAGGAGCAGGAGAAGAAGGACGAGCAGGAGGAGGAGGAGGACGAGCAGGAGGAGGAGGACGACCAGAGGAGTACCAGGAGGAGGAGGAAGAGGAGGAGGGGAGAGGGGAGAGGGGGAGGAGGAGGAGGAGGACGAGGACGAGGAGGAGAGGAGGAGGGGGGGGGAGAGTACCAGGAGGAGGAGAACGAGGACCACCAGGAGGAGGAGGAGGAGGAGGAGGAGGAGGAAGGAGGAGGAGGAGAGAACACCAGGAGGAGGAGGACGAGCAAGACGAGGAGGACGAAGAACGAGGGACGACCAGGGAAGAGGAGTAGGAGGAGGAGGAGGAGGAGGGGACGAGTAGGAGGACTTACCCAGGAGGACTGTACCGAGGAGGAGGAGGAGGAGGAGGAGGAGCGAGGAGGAAGAGGAGGAGGAGGACGAGGAGGAGGAGAGGAGGCGGACGAGGAGGAGGTAGTGGGGGGGAGAGCACCAGGAGGAGGAGAACGAGGAACACCAGGAGGAGGAGGAGGATGAGGAGGAGGATGCACGGATCGTTCGAAGAGATGCACCAGGAGGAGGAGAAAGCACCAGGAGGAGGAGGACGAGCAAGACGAGGAGGACGAGAACGAGGACGAGCAGGAGGAAGAGGAGGAGGAGGAGGAGGAGGAGGAGGAGGAGCAGGAGAAAGAGGAGGAGGAGGAGGAGGCAGGCTGAGGCTGAGGCTGTGACTGCGATTGCCGTTGCCGCTGCGACTGTCATCGCGAATGCGACTACGACTGCGAGAACAGCAGAATTCGACAACTGGATTTTCATCTGAATCTTAAGGGGAATGCTTTCAGATATGCTTCTACACATCGCTGTTAGGTTGCTTTGCCGGGATAATGTGTTTTTACCTAACAGCGAAGACTGATAGGTTTCTAGTGGGGTCAAAAGAGCTCACAGATCACTCCACAGGGGGGTCCGGGCAGGTGTTGGGAGTTGCCGGGCGGGCCTGTGCCGAGCTCGTTTTTCACCAACAGTCACACACTTAGTGCTCTTCGACTTCCCAGAACTCCATTCCCAGGCTCATTCTGAATAACCGGATGCAACAGTCACACACTTCGTGCTCTTCGAGATCCCAAAACGCCATTCCCGGGCCACATTCTGGAGGGCCGGATGCAACAGTCACACACTTCGTGCTCTTCGAGTTCCCAGAACTCCATTCCCGGGCCACATTCTGGAGGGCCGGATGCAACAGTCACACACTTCGTGCTCTTCGAGTTCTCAGAACTCCATTCCCGGGCCACATTTTGGATGCCCGGAGCCAACTGTAGGCCACTTCGTGCTCTTCGAGTTCCCAGAACTCCATTCCCGGGCCACATTTTGAATGCCCGGAGCCAACTGTAGGCCACTTCGTGCTCTTCGAGTTCCCAGAACTCCATTCCCGGGCACATTTTGAATGCCCGGAGCCAACTGTAGGCCACTTCGTGCTCTTCGAGTTCCCAGAACTCCATTCCCGGGCCACATTTTGAATGCCCGTAGCCAACTGTAGGCAACTTCGTGCTCTTCGACTTCCCAGAACTCCCATTCCTGGGCCACATTTTCAGCAGGGGCAAGAGCACGACGCGGAGGAGGACGAGCAAGACCAGGAGGACGAGGACGAGCAGGAGCAGGACGAGGAGCAGGAGGAGCAGGAGAAGAAGGACGAGCAGGAGGAGGAGGAGGACGAGCAGGAGGAGGAGGACGACCAGGAGGAGGAGGAAGAGGAGGAGGAGGAGGAGGAGTACCAGGAGGAGGAGGAGGAGGAGGAGGAGGAGTACCAGGAGGAGGAGGAGGAGGAGGAGGAGGGGAGGAGGAGGAAGGAAGAGGAGGAGGAGGAGGAGGAGGAGGAGGAGAGAGGCCGAGGAGGAGGAGGAGGGAGGAGGGGGGGGGGAGAGTACCAGGAGGAGGAGAACGAGGGCACCACCAGGAGGAGGAGGAGGAGGAGGAGGAGGAGGAGGAGGAGGAGGAGGAGGAGAGAACACCAGAGGAGGAGGACGAGCAAGACGAGGAGGACGAGAACGAGGAGCGACCAGGAAGAGGGCGGATGAGGAGGAGGAGTGAGGGGAGGGGGAGGATACCGGAGGAGGAGGAGCGAGAGGAGGAGGAGGTAGTAGGAGGAGGAGAGGGAAAAAGGAGGAGCGATGACGAGGAGGGGAGGAGGAGGGACGAGGAGGAGGAAGAGGGGGGGCCGAGAGCAAAGAGGAGGAGAACGAGGACCACCAGGAGGAGGAGGAGGAGGAGGAGGAGGAGGAGGAGAGAACACCAGGAGGAGGAGGACGAGCAAGACGAGGAGGACGAGAACGAGGACAAGCAGGAGGAAGAGGAGGAGGAGGAGGAGGAGGAGGAGGAGGAGGAGGAGGAGCAGGAGAAAGAGCAGGAGGAGGAGGAGGCAGGCTGAGGCTGAGGCTGTGACTGCGACTGCCGTTGCCGCTGCGACTGTCATCGCGAATGCGACTACGACTGCGAGAACAGCAGAATTCTACAACTGGATTTTCGTCTGAATCTTAAGGGGAATGCTTTCAGATATGCTTCTACACATCGCTGTTAGGTTGCTTTGCCGGGATAATCATCTGAATCTTAAGGGGAATGCTTTCAGATATGCTTCTACACATCGCTGTTAGGTTGCTTTGCCGGGATAATGGTCTCAAAAGAGCTCACAGATCACTCCACAGGGGGGTCCGGGCAGGTGTTGGGGAGTTGCCGGGCGGCAGGGTGCCGGGCTCGTTTTTCACCAACAGTCACACATTTCGTGCTCTTCGACTTCCCAGAACTCCATTCCCAGGCCACATTCTGAATACCCGGATGCAACAG